AATTGTTCTTTAAGTTGAACATACTATCAAATGTCGTCCAATTCACAAACTGTTCTCAAATGAGCATATGCCAAACAACACATTCGTAAAGAAAATAAGTATAAAGGAAGAAATTGGAGGAAAAAAAGGGAAAAAGAAAAACAACCATTTCATCGAGATGAATTCCCACCACCTCCCCACCTCATGTCCATCGAACCCCAATAATTCACACCCTTCACAAAAAATTGTTAGTTAAAATATGTGTTTTATCAACACCTCCACCAAGGCTTCAAAGCTTGGATTTTGATCTGGAGGAATCTCTAGAAACCCCATAAATTTCTAAAGCATCATTAGGATTTAGGAGTGTCAATGTTGTACCATCAAATAGAAATGAAAGCTATATGGTACCTTAAATTAAGACATTGAGAAAAAAAAAATTCTGGTTCAATACTGTCAATAATTCCAGCTCCATCTGAACTTTTTTATCGAAATTGGTTCACCTTCGAAGTATTTTTCCTTCTAATAGAAAAAATGGACATGCATGGATACTCTTAAATAAATGCAGTATCTTTAAATAATCTTGAAAGTAGAAGGTAAGATAAAAGATCAGGTCATCAAGTTTTATACCTTCTTGAAGATATGGACATCAGCCACTTCATTCCTCCGTCCAAGAAGTTTTAAATGAAAAATCGAAAGCATGTTAGACCAACTTCTTTAAAAGCTGGAAGTGACCTCCTAGCAATAAAATACCTATCGAGTTAATGGAAGAACCACGACAGCCACCGGACCATTATTTTATGATTTCACCATCTTTTCACGAGCTCTCTCAACATGAACTCATCGTGCTTCTCTCTCGATGAAGGAAGTACCTAGATGAAAAGCAAAAGAGTTACAGAATCGGTAAAGGCCAATAATAAAAAACAAACTGTAAAAGGATGGAGCAAAATGAGCCAAAATATGAGGAAAAATTTGACCAGATCTCCCAGGGGAATTCCATACGTTGCTTGGTCAGCATCACCTTTGGGAGAAAATAGAGTAAATTCGTAAGTAGTGTTCATTGAACTGGGTTTCACAGTGATGCTACTGGATTTTTCAAGTTGACAATATTAAGTTTTCACTGAAAAATAGTGGGGAAGTTTTATCTTTTATTCATATTTTCCAAACAAACCAAAACGTGTATATAAATTGGGGAAGGGGGAGGGTCATTGCTCTTGAGACACATGGAATCGTTTGATATGAGAGCAGAAGAAGATTGGAAGGGTTGCAAGCAGTTATACAGGATACAGCATTAACCAAAGCTTTTACACTTAATTCTCAATACTCACATTACAAATTGGAGAGAATGACCTTTTTAGAATTATTATATGATAGATGACACATGCACAACATAGAAATCTTTTCACAATGATTATCAATCATTCTGTGAGTGGGACAAAGAGTATCAATCAAAAGCTCACCATTTAGTAGAGTGATAAGTAATGAACTTCCAAGAATGTGGGAGGAAATAAGATTATTTAATAAATTCTAAGATAGCCACATACGATCAAACACTCTCCCACCCAATATCATTTACCACAGTTGGACCTTTTTAGTCAAATTGACCTTGTAGAAGCAATATCTGTAATTGTTCCTTACAAGTTACAACACCGACAATGGGACAAAAATATAAATTACAGCAAGCACTGTCACCATTAAAGACCCAGAGCTTCATGTAATATGAAGATGCTTAAAAAAAAAAACCAAAAAAGGTAAACATACAGGTTCATAAATACCACTCTGTCTAAGAAATAAACAGACGGAGTCGGCCTTACTGTTGATGTAATGTAATCTTCAAATGAATCGAAATACTTGTCATACAACTGCAGAGAGTAATCGTGGGGAGGCTTTTGCGTGCACATGTTATAAATTGTCTTGTACGTAAGATTTAAGGAAAATAAGAACAAACAATAAGGTCGTGAGTGTCTACAAATCAAAAGGCTAAACTGAAGACTTGGAATATAAAAGAAATACGTGTAGAGCATCATATAATCTTCTAAGCTGAGCTGTGGCTCAGGCAGCCCTTCTAAAATGTTTTTCAGCTTTGTAATCCCTTTTTGCATAAAGTCCCATCCCTGTTCTAAATCAATTGTATTCCTCTGATTCATCGTCATTTTCTGTACCAGCTCAAGTTCAATAGGCAAACAAACACTAATGCCTTCTAGAAGAAACTATAGCCTGCCAATAACACATAAATTGGTAAATTAATCAATAAAAAACATCTAAACGCTGTAAATGACTACAGCCAAACAGAAATCAACTAAGAAATAACACCACCCTAAAATGAAACCGAAGAACCAAGAGCATCTTTCAACCATACCCAGCAGTTATTATCTAGTACTACTTGACATCAAATTTCTGTATTCCTAATATAGCCTTGACTTAGTTCTCCATGATCTTCAAAATTACCAATTTTAAGTATCCCATAGAAAAAAAAAACCTACCTTCTCCTCTTACAAAAGATACCCTGCACCACCATTAGCTACCTATATGGCTATATCCATATTTATTAGCTTAACATTATCATTTATCAATTATCATAACATGTTAATAAAAAAAAAAGTGTGTCAGTGCTGCTAGTTCATGATAATCGAATTCACTATCAAACTAAGCCAAACGTAATTTCATCAAGCTACCCAAATTAACAGGATAAATTAAAATCACAAATCATATCAAAAAATTAACGTTGAAATCAACAAAGACATGCATCCAAAAGGAAGTAACACAATAATAAGAGTCTCTAATTTCACCAAAAGTTTAACATTAAACAATAGA